TAAGAGGAAAGACTGAGAATGGAAGAGAGACGGGCTCTACAGCTTGATGGTTAGGGCACTCACAGTGGATGTGGGAGATCTGGGTTCAAGGTCCTGCTCTGATTCAGGCACAGCAGAGACTCATATCTCCTGCATCCCAGCTGAGTGCCATAACCACTGGGCTACTGGTTATAATGGTCTCTCGTCCCCACCCCCAAAATTCCACCGTGAAACCCAAAAAAGTTTAGATGATACTTCCTACAAAAGGGAAACATTTCCCGTTTGACTATGGAGCACTTTCCAACAAAAAAATTGGTGAAAAATTCCCAACCAGCTCTACTGCCTTCATCTCAGGTGGATCCTCATGCAGCCAGCTGCCTGAACAGCCATCTACCCCTAGCAACCAGTGACTCTCCTGCTAATACCCAGTAGACAACCTCAACAACCCCTCTTCCCAACTCCAGCCACCCTGGGGCAGCAGGTGTATGTATTAAGATGAAGTCTTTTGTGCTGACCTCAAAGGGGTCCCTATATAGAGTCTGCCTCTCCTCAGAGAAGGCATAGTGCTTTTTCTCTGCCAGACACTGGGGTAGGGTAAAGCTCCTAACACCCCTAAGCCACAACAGGGCACGGATGTTGACAGCATCTGACCCATTTTAAGTAGATTTCTTCCCAGCTGACCCTGTTCAAGAGCTAGGGGTAGCCCCGACGTTGTCAGCCGGCTCAGCAGGCCACCCTGCAAGCTGCTATCCTGCAGGTCCTTGGGGAAGTGGAGGGAGAAGGATCTCAGCTGCAGATGGGCTCTATTGAGCTTGATCTCACAATTCTTTTCCAAAAATCTTCTGTGTTATACTATCTGCCATCATGGCAATACATATTTGATATGCAACTAATCCAGTGCATAATTAACTCCTGAAAGTTATTCATCCATTGTCACACAGACAGTAGGACAATGAAATAAAAGGCAATATGTCTAGTAAAGAACTGCAGCAATAGATTGGCCTTGCATGTTACCTGAGAGTCTGTTCTGGTAAAAGCTATCTACAGCCCAAAGATTTGTTCTCTCCCAGGCCCATGGAACTCTCCCTATTTCCCCCACACATCATGGGCCCTGCAAAAACATAAACATAAATAAATAAAAATCCCCCCTCTCTCACATCAGATACTTTTGGTTTTCAATCAGGTTTTTGTTGAAATGCTGATCATTCATGGAACAGCCTGAAATATGAGTTAGCTAACTATATTGCACGTAACTGCCAAAATTGAGAGCTTGGAATTTCTGTGCAAGAGAGCATTTCTTCTGAGAGCTTTCCCCATTTGTAAAGCCATTACTCTTCTCAGTCAAAGCACTTTAAAATACATGGGTATGAAAGAAGAAAGGGAGTAATGTACTAATTTATAAGCTCTCCCATAAAAGGGCTAAGTGTTCTTTTATGCACATCATTCCCTCCTAGGAACAAGGAAACTGAACCGGACTCCGTTTCTTCCTCCTTCACCATAGAAGGCAGGGTTGCCCTCCATCCCCACAATGGCAGGGAGTTTAGTCCACAGAACCATTGTACACTGGATTTCCACTGGAGGCCAAGGTCAATATTGCAGAGCAGCACACTCCTGTAGCAACCATCCTTCCATCGGCTTTCCCTCTCCAGGAGGGTTTCCAGTCTGCAGTGGGGGAACCCATGTCAGCTTAGTCAGTGTGATCTTGTGCTAAGATCACCAACATGGTGGCAGGGAGAGAGAGAGAAGTCGGGATCATGGGGCCATGGAAATCATCCCCCTCATCCGAAGCGGCAGAGACTGAACACATGTCACATCACAAACGGTTTCCATGGGCGAGTTGGAAGGTGTAACAGGCTAGTGCGCACACACTTTCCAGTGCTAGTATGCAGGAACGTGCTACTCTCTGTTCACAAAAGCAGAGGATAGCAGAGAGCCCAGTGTGTTCATGTTCACATAACTTGGGCTACAATGCTGGCCTTGTAGTTTTAACATCAGACCCTAGGGAGTATTCCATTACTGAATGTTAAAGGCCTGCATTTTAGAAGGGACCATTTAAAGGAAAGCATTTTGGAAACAGAGGTCTAACAATCTTCCCACAGTTCAGAGGAAATCTACCAAAGGGAAGGAACTGTAAAATGCAAACGTTCACATTACTTCAAAATATCATAAGCGCTGATGTCTATGCATTAGGCAGAGTGTAATGTCATTTTTCTGGTGACATTATTTGACTGTGCTTCTTGAGGAGCACAAATGGAACATGGATAGATGCCAAAAATAGAGAGGGAGGTGCCATACCTAGCATTACAGAGCTGTACGTTCAGAGATGCAAACAGAGGTATCCTTCACTGAGGAAAGTAAGGGCAAATGGGTCCCACAGGACCCACCACTAGCCGCAGCCATCACTACTAGACAGGAAATCTGGCAACAACCCAACCACAAGAAAGTGCTCACTGGGATTCTGTCTACATTAACATCTGAAATAGTGTTAACCCCTTTCTGGAGCATTGTGTTTAAAACATCCAAGGATTAATTTCAAACTGGAGCAAATTTCTTAAATAAAATATATAAAAGTACATAATAAACCTGGTCTGTCAAGCCTTTTCAAGGAAAACAAAACTTAACACGGTTTTTAAAAAGTACATTGGGGTGTAACAGGAAGCCAACACTATTTAGATTCTTAAATCGCCTCCTTCACCATCGTGTCTCAATGCCCGCTGCTGATTTTTGTTTGTAAGTGTTGCATCTCATAACTTACGGATGTATTTTTCCATCCAAAGGTTTGAATAGCAAACTATGGTCCAGAATAAGGTGCCATACAATTTCAAGTGGAGCACAAGTCTATCTTAACACAGAACCTATACTTTCCTGTTTAATCAGCTACCTCCAGTTTGCTGAGATCTGGTGGTCCCTGAAGGCCACAACTCAGAGTGTCGGTCAGAAGGCACTCCATAACAGGAAAAATAACCCCAAAATGATTCCCATCAGCAGAAGTCATCCAGCAGCAATGTGGGGAAATTACTACTGGATCAGGGATGGTTTCCAAAAGAAGAAATCTTTGAGGACAAACATCTCCCTAGTGAACTTTAGTAACAAAAGGCTGAGAAAAGCTATATTTGAATGATGTCACAATATTATTTTAAAGTAGATGTGTGTCATTTTTCATAAAGAATTTTCCATCTGTTAAAGCAGAATTGCCAGCCCCAAGCATTCAAAATTCACAGATTCTAGTTCTTCTGCAAAAGTATCTGAATACTTCTGAGCTTTTTTGCTAATCATATTAGGTTTGGGGAGGGGTGCACAATGTGCAAGACCTTCACATACATACAATAACCATTACCACCTATGTAAACACAAGAGATTACAAACATCCTTGTAATTCTTGCTGCTATTTTTAATTTTAGAAGTTAGTGTAAAGGCCATAAGGCCAAATATAGCAACTATAATGGTACTAAGTTATTGTCAGTTCCAGGGAAAATCATCACTTCTATCTTAATGTCTTGAATCAGCAATGCACATTGTGGTAAAGGCTGGGATTCAGTGTAGCTAGACCTGGTCATTCCACTGTCAACCAGATTTTTATCTTGAGGCAGCTGTTGAGAAGATGGCTTAATTTAATAAGCATGCACAGCATTTTTTAGAGACTTCCATCAGGCCTTTGATTCAGTGCATCTACAAGTTTGTGGAATCTAATAGGCAACTCTGCGTCCCTGCGAAGACAGCATCATTGACAGAAGAACTCTATAATGGAATGCAAAGCACTGTTCAAATTAATGGTAGATACAGAGAATGGTTTCCTATTTCCACGGGAGTTTGTTCAGCAGGGCTGCATCCTATCACCATCATTGTTCAATATCGGCATTGACTGATTGGTGGATAAGCTTCAGGAGGCAGTTGTCTGTGGCAGGTAGCTGAGCACCATTCTACTTTGAGATCTTGAATATGCTGATGACATCATCTTGTTGGCTCAATCTGGCATATGGCTGCAGCTGAAGGCCAATTTGGTCAGGCAAGAGCAGCGCGCATCAGTCTGACTTTTTATTCAGTTAAAACAAAGTCCCTGGACATTACCATCAAGCAGCCGTTAGCTCGAGATTACAACCCGGATGAGATGTCGAGCATGTGACAACTGTCAAATATTTGGGCAGAGTCAAAGACAACTTTGGAAGTTGTGAACACTCCTATAACAGCAGATGCTACCATGTTTCCATCCCTGCAGCGGCATCTGTCAGGATATCATGACATCAAGCTTCCCAAGAAGCTGTAGAAAACCAGTTACACAAAGGCTGTTGCATGTGAAAAGAAGGTCCTGAGGAAGACTGAAGACCACTGCATTGATGTTTTCAATTCTTGTCGTATTCATCAGATGCTCCATAGCAAGTGGCAGGACAAGATCAGAGATGAGGATATTCAAAGCTTAACCCAGCAACCACCTCCATCAGCACCAGCTGGATTTCACCAGCTTTCTTGGTATGGGTATATTATTAGAATGGAAGACCAATGAATTCTAAAGCACATTTACCAAGGAAAGCCCCTACATGGCCGGTGATCACATGGGCACCAAAAGCTTCGGTGGCATGCTAAGATTGGCAGTGATGGACATAAACTGAATGTCCAGCCAGACTACCTTAAGAACCAAGCCAGAGATTGATCCAGGTGGTGTTCAGCCTGCAAAGAGACCATGACCCTTTGGGATTTACCATCATGATGAATAACAATGTACACAGAGGTTTTTTGACACAGAAAGGACCAGCATAGGATCATGAGGCCAAGTTAAGTTATTTTTATCACTGACTTCAAAACAGGAGCAGAGTTTGGTCAATGCTAAGGACTTCTGAAAATCCGACCTGTAACTTCTAAAGTGCTATTTAGCAACAGCATCATGTGCTATACTTGTTATATTATAACTGCATGTAACGCATCCATGAGACACCAGATTTTGGTGTAGTGCCCATTTTGTCACCCATGAAGGATTATTTTCTCCATTAAAAATTATTAATCATTTATGTTACAACTCTGAATACCTTCTCATCCAGGTGCACTTTATTGACATTTTCCATCTGAAAACCGTGGAGGGACTGGATTTTATCAATCTGCTCACGCTGCTTCTCTAGTTCTCCTTGGAATTCGTTCTTTTTGAGTTCAACAGCCCCTCTCTCTGCTGCCGCCCTGCGGACTTTCCTTTCTAGTTCCAGAATCCGACTCTGAAAGGAGACAGATAAACAAGAGATAAATATAGATGGTTCCTATAAATTAGTGTTACAAGGAGTATTTCTTTGTATGATCTGACTTCAAACTTTCTGTGAAGATAAAATCTGATTCACCTGTTATGGATTTTCAGTCTACCACCTTCATCTTCACTGGCTACTTTTTATATTGCATTTATGGCGTGCCCCTCATCTCAAAGTTGTTGCCTAATCCATTGAGTGGTTATTGATTTTTAAGAATTTCCAATTTGTCACTGATTAGATTTGAGGGTTTAAAAGGCTCTGGTCCCAGAATCAGGTACAGCAGAATTAAGTTCTATGTCTGTTTGGGAACCCGTGTGTGCACAATGACAACACTCACACTAAGGGCAAAGCAAAGCTTTAAATATTTGTATTAGTATAATTAATAAAAACAAATGTTTCAACCCAAATAAAAACGCTTAAGCTAGGGTCTTACAGAATATAGGTCTGTAGGTTTCTTGCATTGCCACTACATAAAATACCTTTAAGATAGCTCTATGGCCTACAAAGAGTCTACAAACTAATATGCCATTTCTATTAAGAGGCCACTTCATCCACTAGTGAAAACCAGTAGCTGTTTAACCACACACAGCAACCTTATGGAACAGTTTAGAGCAGGGAGCAAATGCCATATATACCTTATAACTAAACCTGCATGAAAAGTGTCAGTAGAGATCGAAATATACAAGTTGGTTGGACACCAGAGTTAAAACCCCCACCCTCGCAAAAAGTGCCCTAGGGTCTTTAGTAATTAAGTGGTCAGAACGTGTTTAGGTCTCAGAGGAAAGAACACCACCACTCAGATCACCAATAGATATTTCTTGAAGAGCTACCCAACCTCTGACCCCCCCTGCAAGTACTGCCCCAGCCTGACTTTCTTATTGTGTGTGAATAGGTAAGACCACAGCAGGTGGTGTATGGCTGAAGGGCAAAGATACATATTTGTGAAGAACCCAACTTTATAAATATGGGAAGTTTAACACTTTTTTCTGGATCGCTTCAAGACCATACTGAGAACCAGTGGAAGATTTAACAAAAGAAATATCACCATCATATATAGAGAAAATGTCAAGGAATTAAGTCTGGGGATTTTTGGTTTGTTTGTTTTTTAATAATTGGTTCAATTTTTGCAGGACACTCTGGAGGTACCTCATATGTTCTGTTGCTTGTTCTCTAAGAGTCATTTATACACAACTTAGAAGGAAGTATAACTGCTAGAATCAGTAGAGATTTTGGGGAGGAGGGTGTACAAATTTCAACAGCATTTGTCAAGCATATTAAAACATCTACAGCCTCAGACTGAAGCTTATACTCAATCTGGAATCTAACAGGATGTATCAAAATCATCTTATCTACTGAGTCTTCAAGAGCAGAAGCCTTGTTACTCCACAGTATGCCCTGCTGGACAGAGCCACGTTTAAGGAAGCCACTTGCCTACCCTTTAGAGCTGGGGTTAAGCTCCTACACTGCAATTACCATAGGAGATGAGAGAATGGAAAAACAGAGAAAAATGCTCATGATTAAACCGCAGGAGCAGAGAAAACTCATTCCATCTTAATCAGCATGGCAGTAAAGTCCTGCCAATAAACTGTGTGAGTAAATAGAAAGTGTTTTGAAATGTAATGGTAAAAACTCTAAGTGCAGCCCAACCCATAAGATCTGAATGGTGCTTCTTTCAAACTGTTGCCAAGGCACTGGGATGGTTTAATGGAAGTAAAGAACTTTACATTTCCTTTGGGGAAAGGCACTGCACAATGTAGGCAATCAATAATGGCAAACTCACCTCTACGTTACTGAATCAAGTGTGATCCAGGATGGTAATGACTTTTGATTCACTATCTGTCATCAGTTTTGTGGCCTGTGTCATGACTTAATGGTCTCAACCTAGGTCTTAATGGATAGGTAACAAATACCACAGAGAGGCCAGGGACTAAAGAAGCTTAACTAACCCCATAAGATATGAAATTCTGTCCTCAGAGAAGGGCTAAGACACACTGGAAAAGCAGTGGTGAAAAATTTATCCTGACATTAAGTCATGACACAGTATGGTACCAGTTCTGCAGGAAAAGAGGATTTGGTTTCTAGGGCTGTCAATCCAGTTAAAATTCAGTAAACTCTGAAGATCTAGCATCTGTTCCATAGACAAGGTTGTGATGAGTTTTCTGTTACAAACCCAGTTTGACAATTCCTCCCCACAACTTCACCAGAAATGAACCAGTCCACCCAGCATAGTTCTGGTGTGCTGTTCTGCCAGGGGAGACATTTTTAGAAGAAAGCGTGGGGTTAATTGTGACAGATATTGTAATTACATATAGTATCTTGGGGGAACATCTTGTATTAAATTTATGTATCATTGTGGGCCAGGGTTTGTATGTATGATCGTGTTCTACTCCACGGGAAGGGTTACCATAGCTCCTACAAGAACTAAAACAGTGGGGGGTGATCACAGTGAATCACTCTCATTATAAATATCTCCAGAGAGGTGCTACCCAACCCCCACCGCCCCGGGGAAGTTTGCATATACTGGTTCAAACTGAGTTTCCAGAGAGTAGGAAAACAAAGAAAAGGGTTTTGGCTTAAAAAGGCTGCATTTAAACTGTCTCAAGACCTTCTGTCTAAGGACCCCAACCTTGCAGAAGGATTGGAAAGACTTTGGTCTATTAGGGTCCCATAAGTCTGATGGGTGACCTCTGCTTTTAGCGTGTGTATAGGAACTTTTATGGGATTTTTTGTGCATTTTCTCTGTAATGCTTTCACCTTATGAATACATGTGCTTGCTTAAAAAGAGTTGTGTGATAACTTATAACTGCTGGCAATACACTGTTCAGAGCCCTCAGAGAGAAAGCAAAGCACAGGCAATGGCCTTTAGGCACAGTGGCTTGCTAAAGGTATCATAGTGTACAGTAAGTGGCTGTGCAACTTTGAAACACTCCTGGTCAGAAGGGAGTGGGACAGGGTGCTTACCTAGACACAGGTGATGGCTGGAGATCTGAGACCTGATTGGGAACTCCTGGAGTGGAGCATGGAATGGGGGATATAAGTGCAGTTATCCTGCAACTGTGACAGTAATCAGATAAGGTGTTAATGGAAAAATAACAGGGATATTTCACTTCAATGTTAAAAAGGAAGAATGTCATAACTCAAGAGCAGCTTGGCTTAGAGACATCAATCTTGCAATTAGATTCATGTGGCCAGACTCCCTGCAGAACCTCATTAGCTAGTTTAAGAACGAACATTTATCGTCTCAACAAAACAGCCAAAGACACAAGTCCTCAGCAAGGTCTATAAAGCAAATTAAGACTACACACTTGGAGCCCCATTGAATCTCAGTTAGATTGTAAGGTCTGATGAGCATTATAAAAAGCCCCAGCTCAGTTAACAAGGACCACAAGGGCCCCGAGCATTCATTCATTCTGTCTTGCATAACTGCAGTAATTTGTTCTGCACCGCATTTCCACACATCAAGATTAGATAAATTTGAGAAATCTAATTTAGGTGTCTCAGTCAAAATCTTCCTTAAGAAAACATCATTGCCTTGGAAACAGTCAAAGTGTCATTTTTAAACACCCCTCTGAAAAAGTAAAAAGAGGTTTTCTTATGTCTGATAGAAATAAAAATCTGGGAAAGTTACTTTGCATTTTAGCTTGCCTGATATCAACTGCTGCTTGCCTCTTTATGTAACTCTATAATGTCCTAAGCAGCAAGGGCAGCCATAAGCCCAAATGCAGGAGCAGGCTAGGAAAATTTTGGGAGACAAAAAAGTTGGCAGTAGCTGATAAAGAGCAAAAATGTGGTGTTTCAGTGGTGATGTACTGAAAAAACAAAAACAAAAAATCAACCCAAAACCAAACTTGAATATTTAATAACAAGGGAAGTTTATCATGGAGCTATAATAGCAGTATAATGCTGCAAAATTACCTGAATGGATAGGACTGGCTAGTGCAAGTGCAATGCCTTTCACAGATACTTCTCTTCACCCCTTTGCTGGGAAACTATTAGGAGTGGAGATTCGCAAAGTTTTGCCTGTTTTGGTTTGTTTTCATACAGTCCAAAAGAATAAATGCCTTTAGCAGCCATATCTATTTGAATCTACAGGAAGGAGTACAAGAATACTACCTGTAGAGCAACATTGCGAGAACTTGAAATCCAGTAATTGAAACCCAAAACGATCATACAAGCTACAAGCGCAGCTATTAGAAGAGGTGGAGATTTCATCCCTCGACGGCTGTTTCCTAGCCCGACCATTTCAAAAGACTGTGGAAATCTGTAAATTAAAATAAAGAAGTCACATTACATACTTCTTTGCTAGGACAATTTCATGAATATATCAGACTTTCACTGGAACCAAGAAGAGCTGTGGTTCTACAATAGCTTAGTTAGGTAAATAAGAATTGGAGTATACCCAGCAAGGAAAGCATTCTCCCCTGGATTTGTAACCTGAAGGTCACACTGTGTCATCAGTTTTTATGGCAAATTTCACTGGATTTCAGTGTGGAGTACTGCATAAAAGCCTGATGAGATAATAAAGAGCCACAATAACTGTCATACTGGAACAAGCCATTGTCTACCTAGTCCGTTAACCTCTCTCTGGCAGTGGCTAATGTTGGATGCTAACTGGGCAATGCTACTCCATTGGCAGAAGGAGGAAAGGGGTAGATTTTTTTTGGTATCTCATCCCAGTTGGTGATCAGTTTAGTCCCCAATGCAGTAGGCTAACTTAGGTCTTCATTTTAAAATTTGTCCAAGCTAGTATAATTTCAGATTCTTTTCTTGGTGACATTGACTACTCCAGCTCCTTTCATCAGGAGAGAATATAGAGTAATGTTTCTTCCTGATATTGTGCTCTTCTCCTGTGCTTGCAAAATGACAGATTTAAAGCTTTCTTTTTTGCAAGTTGTAGATTCTGGTGGAGCAGGTTTGGCATTTGCATAAAGGGCAGGGAATGGTGCTACACTATGTGCCATGTATTATTTGCAGGCATGAGGAGAAAAGCATAACAACGACAGAATTTAAACATCTTGCCTAGGTCAGATGTGAAGAGCTGTCTTAGGATACCTCTTAGTATATGAAAACCTCATTTGAGAATTTTGAAAAACACGCTTGGTTTAGTGACTTTAAAGAATGCTTATTTTAAAGTGTTGTGTGGAAGTTTTAGCACTCGAAATTAGCTTTGTGTTTTTTAATTTAGTAATCATTAAATCCATTGAAAATTTTTAAATAGTTGCCTTTTTATTTCACTGGAAAACACAGCCATCACAAATAGACAAATTACTAATGTCATAGGGAAGTTAATATACACATACTGATCCACTATCATGACTGAAAGAATGTGTTGATCAGTGAATTAATTCCTTAGTTCTAGTAATCTGTGTGTGATTATTTGACAGATGTACATTATATACCAGAAAGGCATGACTTTTCATTTGAAAAAAAGATTAAACTGCTCTAAATGGGGCTATTCATGACACATTAGATCTGCTCCTTTGAGTGCATTCCTCACACCTCACATCTTATTTTAAAAGACCGAAACAAAATAAGTGAATGAAACATTGTATTTCCACTTAAATACACAGAAACAAAGAACACAAAAGTTGACCCTGAAGAAAAAGACAATTGTTTTAGTATTGCAGCTAAATAAATATTTTACCTCACCCCCCAGAAGATACCTGCATTCTCTAAATTAGAACCGATGTTTTACTGATACTGGAAGTTGCCTACTGGAAAGTTTTATAAATGTTTTGGGGCCAATCCATTGTTGAACTACACAATTTTGAATAAATAAATAGAACCCACTTTACAGTTCTGAAAGTTCTGTCTTTCTCATGCATTCAGGTTGGACAGGAGATGCACTTCCTTTGCTTTAACCAACCTCAGATTTAAGATGTCAGCTTTCCTTTTGAGAAAGAAGCTGAATTTCCTATGCCTCAACCAACATTACACTTCAGGTATCAGCTTTCTATTGGATTGTTATTTAATTTTTAATCCCAGAGATTTGTTCTGAGCGTTTAGATCGGGGTAGGCAACCTATGGCATGCATGCCAAAGGCAGCATGTGAGCTGATTTTCAGTGGTACTCACACTGCCTGGGTCCTGGCTACCGGTCCGGGGGGGCTCTGCATTTTAATTTAATTTTAAATGAAGCTTCTTAAACATTTTAAAAACCTTATTTACTTTACATACAACAATAGTTTAGTTATATATTACAGACTTATAAAAGAGACCTTCTAAAAACATTAAAATGTATTACTGGCACGCCAAACCTTAAATTAGAGTGAATAAATGAAGACTCGGCACACCACTTTTGAAAGGCTGCCGACCCCTGGTTTAGATGAAGCAGTTAGAATAATATGTTTCATCACATTGCAGTTCTTCAGTCAACAATGTTGTGTCTTGACATTTCAAGGATCTCTAAATAGCTAGTGATGTTACCAAAGACCATGTAGTAGTCAGCATAATTGGGGAGTTAGGTTCAGCATTAAATATGAACCTCTTTCTTTTGGAGGTGGAGAAAAAAAGCTATTAAATCAGATGTGACTATTTTAGGGACAATCCTGAAGTTCTTAAGCATCGAGATAAAACTTCAATTGACTTAAATGGGCACATTTAATTAGTAAGGTATGCAGGTTCAAACCACACACTGCTAACGCTTGGTCTGTGCATCTTCTCATAGTTGTAAGGTATTTAACAATTCTCTTGTGCCAAATCAGATAGGAATTACTTCATTTTGGCATGCAGTGCTGTTTCTATAAAATGGAATATTTTGATAGATCTAGGAGCAAAGAGAAATTATCACATTATGTGGAAAAAAACAGCTGCCTCAGTGTATTTCACAAATATACCTCTCAGTGTACTTCACAAGATATCATCTGTTCTTAATGCCCATATGAGGTCTAGCACAACAGGGCCCCCCCAGTCTCATTTGGAATCTTAAGGCATACTGTAATAGACATAATAGTAGATCTCCTACAGCCTGAACATCCATTATAGTACTTGTACCAAAACTCTCGAGAATCAAATCAAAGACAACAGCCACAGAATAAAGTATCTTCTCTGAAAGAAGCTACATCTAAGATTCTGTGTGGTGCTGGAATTTCACAAACAGAAGTGAGCCTGATGCAGTGGGTATGGATAGCAAACACAGAGTTTGGGGACACTGCCCCAATTTGAATGGGATGGATTCTCTATTAATATTTCATACATTCTCTGAATAGGTGTGTTTTTAATAAAAAGACCAACTAGCTATCCCAATGGGATGCAATTCCCAGTGTCTACCTTATTAAGTATTTAATGATGGTGGAAATTCCCAGCAGATCTATGGATGGAAGTAAACCAAATCACAGAGAGGGTGAAAGAGGATATCAGCAGCTAGTGAACAGCAGAGAAATCGATTTTATTGCTTACCAGTATTACAGTGCCCTAGTAGAGCCTGCTTTAAAAATAGTTGACACAATGTTTAAGGTTTTGTTGTTCCAATTAAGCAACACCTGTTCTTTTTTCTTTCCCCAACCTCAAGAGGGATAGGGGAATGCACAAAGTACCAGACTATTTTAGGGTTTGAATAGCAAGCAGGGCAGAAGCAATGCCAGATAAAGTTGTATAACCCTGTATCTGTCCTGTCTTTGCTGCAACAGGAAATAGTGTGGCTTCTTGAAAGACACCTGCCTTCCCTCCCTGCTATAAAAAAACCCATGTGTGGCTTAATTGGAACAACAAAGCCTTAAATATAGTCAGCTGGCTATGGGAGCACTTCACATGTGCAGGGGGACGGTGGCACCACCAAACAGAAGTCAGCCATTGGTTTCACTGCACATGGCGCAGGATCAAGAAAATCTACAGCACAGTCCCAAGGGGCCACCACAGGCACTGTGTAGCTACACGGAGTGGAAGCCGTCATGGAAGGAGCAGCAAAAAGGGGGGGAAAGTTTATAAAAATGAAACACAAGACGACACAAGAACAACAAAGCGACAGGGGCCAAAAGAGAGAGACAAATACAGTGACAATTTAGTCAGTGCATGAAGTGAAGGGACATATGGGAATATGTGTCACTATGTAGTGGAATGCTACCTGTCCTTCTCAGGGAGGCTCCAGCAAAGCCGTGGGAAACCTTTACTCCTCTTACATAGCATTTGGAAAAAGTCAAAAAGCTCTCATCCGTGACGAAGATAAGAGGTGGCAAGAGAGGGATGATTCACACTGACACATTAGTTAAGTGAAATGGAGTAATTGTTTTTTATATACATTTGAAATCTAGCTTAATATCACCTCAAATTACAAGCAAAATGAAACTTTCATTTTTAACTTATTCTCTGTATTTAGTTATATCTTACTCGTTTGCTTACTTGCAAACACTGAAAGATTATACAATATGGCACAAAGAACAGGAGTACTTGTGGCACCTTAGAGACTAACAAATTTATTAGAGCATAAGCTTATGCTCTAATAAATTTGTTAGTCTCTAAGGTGCCACAAGTACTCCTGTTCTTTTTGCGGATACAGACTAACACGGCTGCTACTCTGAAACCTGACAATATGGCACGAGATATTGCAAAGCATATTGCAACATTCATTCCAATTATTTCATAAAGTGTCATTAAGTTGGTGGGTGGGGGATTTGGCAGTTTGAGGTAGAAGAGACAAGTCATTTTGCAAGCCAGAATAATTTACTTTGGAGACAGACTGGCTGACTAACTGCTAGTAAGGCAGCCACACTGTTCAAATGAAGGAACTGTAAATTCAGCATTCACCTTCCCATGTGGAATGGCTAGAAAGCTCAAAAGGGATTTCAAAGGATTTGATAGATTGTTACGATGCACAAATTTGATAGCCCATTGCTTATATATGGTTCTCATCAGAAGTCCTGATTTTACCATAAGAACTGCATTGTTAATGGGTTTGTCTCTCTGGAAACTCCATAAAAGGTTGCTTGGATTTAAACAGTTAATATTCATGGAAACATTGTTCTATACTTGTCTGAGAGTTTAGTGTTTATATTAAGTTAGTATCCCAGACCCCAAATCAGGATCAAGGCCTTATTGTGGAAGATGCTATCAAAAAACAAAACAAAAATCTTACCACATGAAGACAGTCTTCTCCCCAAAAGCTTACAGGCTAAGTAGATAGACCTGAAGGGGATCTCTTTAAAGTTTTGAAAGTTACAAGAACAGGATCCCAAACTACTAAAAATCAGAAGATTCATCAAAAAGTAAAATAACATTCTTTTACTAGGAAGTTATTATTTTTAGAACAAAGAAGGACCCATGGTTA